TTTTTTTTTTTCCTTAGAATGATTAGAAAGTATTTCAAACAGTGTATTTCAAACACTGGCTCAGCAGAAACTTAACGAAAAGATACAGTCATGACCCTGTGATGGCATTGCATTTGGGGGGGAGGTTTGATCAGGAACTGGATTCTTCAGAAAGAAAGATATGACAGGGAACAGTAGGTGGGCATGGGGAGGAGTCAGGGTGGGACACTTCCTGCATTTCTAACGTTTTGGGTTTTATTTTTCTTTTTTTCTTTTTCCTCCTGTCCTAATGACGATCCAGCGCTGAGCTCTGTAGTAGATCTGTGGGGGTTTTACTGGGGGGTCTGAAGGCTGTCTGAAAGCCTGGGGGTGGGGAATGGAAGCTGGTGGGGTTTGAAGGAGGAGAGTAGGGATTCCAACTGGCTCTGTGCAGAGGGATCTGTGTGCCGAAGGGGTTACTGTGGTGCGTCTGTGATGGCGCCGCACTGGGGCCGTCCACCTCTGTGAGGGCCTGAAGAGATTTTAGCCAATGTGGAGGATTGTCATCTTGAAGGGTGTCTAAACTGTTTCCTGTGGAGGCTGGGATACCTATGAAGAGAAGAAAAAAAAAAACAGGAATACAGGCAAGTCAGAGCAGAAGCAATAAGCTGAGCACGAAGGAGGTCAATTTAACCTAACAAAAAGCAACAGTGAGAAAACATGATTAGTTTGTACAGAGAATGCATTTACATTATTATGTATAATTACCCTGCCCACAAAACATTTAACATTAAATCCAGATAGGAGAAAGTTCCCCCTCAGAGCACTTCATAAACCACACATTTTTCTATCAAACATCCTGCACAAGGACTACATCCCTGTTGACGTGATCCTACCACACCAAACTACCAGTACACTGCATGCTTCACCTCCTACTCTGCCTACCTGAATCATGCTTCAGCCTCTCTAACAGGGAAACACAGCCAGACAGCCTTATAAAAGAGAGCTTTATAAACAAGTGGAGTACGTCCCTTTTTAAATAAAAAAGTCCAGTGAATGCCTTCAATGCCTCAGGACCAGCGGCGCATATACCGGACATGCCATCCAGCAGAAGGGACACCTACATTGACCCTGTAGATAAGCGCTGATCCGCCTGACTGCCTGCAAAAGTCCCGGGCATGCATTGCAAAGGCCTAAGTGACACTTCGTTATACCTAGTGGTTCCACAAAAATTCCTGGACCCTTGAGGTTTTGTGGATGGAAGCTGGAAGAGACCACCGCATACTGACTTTTTTTTTTCCAGATGTCAATCAGTTTGTGCCAAATACCCATTTGATGGTTTGCCAGCGGAGCTGAAGGAGTGAGAAACGGTTACCTGTGATGATTGCGGGGTCCATCCAGCTGCCAGGGCTGTCCCAATTCAGGCTGTCGGTGGTGGCAGTGTTGGACGTTGGTACACTGTGGTTGGCGTTGGAAGGGGAAGAAGCATTGGGCAGTCCACCAAAGTTGATGTTAATGTTCGGTAGAAGTGCCCTTAGCCCGTCCTGCCATTCCTTCATATTTAAACTCTCTACAGAACTGCTGTTGTCTGGGAGATTTACCAACAAAAAAAAAATGAAAGATAAAAAAAATAAAAAGCTGAAGTTAGAAACAGATGTCCTTCTTTGGTGGGGTATGGGATTTTGTTTTTACTTTTTAAGCTAAGCATTTAATACTTTCCCTGTCCAAAAACTAGGGTCAATGTTTATATGATTGATGAATTACTCAGAGGGGCTGGCAGGTTTTAAACCAAGTGTAAGGAGTGGGAGAAAGATTTAACTCCTCCTCCAATTCATATTTCCCCATTTTTTTTCCGTTCAGAGACTCAAATAGTCAAGGGCACAGTGGCTCTCCCTCTATTACTAATAGGGGAAAACCTACCAGATCCTTTATGAGAATACTTCTGTTGCAAGCTAGATAACCCAATTCGACTGCTTTATTAATGGGCAGCAGGCTCAAAAGGTTTGGTTTTTTTGAAGTATATTAAAATGAAGAAAGGCTAGGTAGGGCTTTGCAATAGAAACCGAACATGAGGAACCAGGGAGGTGGAGGAATATCACAAAAGTTTTTTGTTTTGTTATAGCTCGCTCGTTCACAGCCCTACAGATGTTCTTCCGAAGGAAATGGTTATTAGGTTCTCATGAAGTTGGAGGGAGTGCAATTTCCTCTTGCAGTTGAAGAACAGTAGTGAAAATTCTTTAGAGACCTTTCAGAATAGTTCCCGACACAGCAACATCCTCAAAACTTTGGTTAGAAGCAAACCAGCTGGACACCAAAACACTCAAGTCCCAACTATTTGCCTAAGTGTTTCAGGGCATGTACTGAAGAAGGACAACAGGATAATGTAGCTAATAGCACTACAGCAAGTGATCCCTGAACGCAAATGACCCCTGAACACAAATGTTAAACCACACTATCTAGAACAGACTATCAGGTTTTACGATCCATCTCCTGCTTTAGGTATCTCAAAGCAAAACAAACCAGACACGAGCATCCTAGTATTTACCAGCCAATACAGAAAGTCATACTTAATTAACTTGTGGTCAAATATATTTGAAAAGAAAGTATTGGGTAGTATGTTGGCAGTATGCTCTTTTTGACAAAAACCTAGAATACAACTTTTCTTTTTTAAACCATCTCTGCCTGTCCTAATTAAAGAAAGGACCTTGATGTCAATCAGAAGTGTTACAGCAGGATCCTTACATAATACTGCTACTTCATCAACAACGAAAGAAATTCAAGTCTTCATGGAAAATTAGAGGATATCACTAACTTGCAACTCCGTATACTGGAGAGTGAAGAAAGCAGTATCACTTGCTATCAAAACCTGCCTTGGCAATTTTTGTAAAGCTGAATGCTCAGAAAGAACTGATGTCTCGAGCAATTACCTTTTTATAACTAGAGGGGAAAAAAAAGCAAGTTCTTGAAATCCTGTACTTTCATGCAGAACTTTCCTTCCCCAAGCCAGAGTTCTTTTAGAATAAACTTTATATGAGATTCTGCTTCTGTACAGAATTACAGCAAGCAACTTCAATCACAAATCACAGCAAGTCATACCTCACTCCATGTCACCAGCTGAACTTCAAAACAAATTACTATGCAAATCTGCTATATCCACTTTGCCTATGATGACTGTTGGAGCAATGCATTCAGTTCTAACCCTATGCATGCCTAATGCAGCTGTGCTAGCACAAGCATCCATCTGCACGCATAAACGTCCCCACACAGCAGGACAGCAGCTGACACCTAGAACGTCTGTGGCCAGACAGACTGATGCTGCACATGGAGCCTGGACAGGGATAACAGCACAGATGCAAAGAGTGTAATACAAAAATCATCCTCTGTGCCTCGGCAAGTTTGCAGAATACATTTGACCACAGACTCTAGAAGGTTTACAGTCAGCTGCTGTTATCCCAACTCACTGGCTGAGGCTGGGGAATCACTCTTCCTCAGAGGTTACAGCATGAGGTACCTCCATGGGGAAGACAGACAACTCCTAAGCATTCCCATAAACAAAGAAAAGACAGGTCAAAAAAATCAGGTAGTGGAAGTAAATCCAAAAGCCTGCCCATTACTACATGCATCATGTTACATCTAAAGATTGAAATTTTAAGTGCTACAGGAGAAAAAATAGCAGTAACAGAACTACAGCTCTGCCTCAAGCAAGTAACCTAAGATGAGCTTTTTAGTAACACCTTAGCACAGAGATGCAATCAAGCCTCCAGACATAAGTGTGACTATATCCACACACTGTGTGCAGCAACGTGCTCTGTGAGGCCTGGTGTACAAGTCACTTTGGGTGGAAAAAAAATGCAGGCTTATCAGCAATTTGTTCTGTGTTCGTTTAGCATCAAGCCATAGTGCATACAACTGGCTTTCACTTCTCCTACTGTAAACAAAATCTACTTCCTGTTCCCTCCAGAGCTCCCACTTTTTTCTTTGCAATACTAATGGACACAGTTTTAAAGAGTTTGGCGCAATACATTTTTCATTCAAACCTATGATCCTGAGGTTAAAAAAAAAAAAAAAAATCAAAATTTTAAGAAGCATTAGTCAGAAATATCCGCAACAGATATTTGCTCACAACCCTCGTGAACATCCATAAGCCTATTTGAGACAAGTTCTAAATTCATTTTTTGGAACAAAAGTAGCCAGCTCACCATCACAGAAATAACTGTGCAACAGATTCTGCATGGTACACCATTAGTTTCCAGTTTATTTTCTCACCGCTGCTTCCAACAGCTTATGCAAAGAAATGCAGCTCAGTTTAATTACTCGCTTCTATTACAAGGCAAAAAGCACACACAAGATGCTTACTAGGACCACGCATGAGCAAACATACTCATTGCAATACCTGTGAACTGGGGATCTGCAAGCTCATGATGGTCATAATCATGGACATTACTAATCCCCAATATGCCCTCAAAGGTCATGTGCAAGAAAATAAACATGTAGTAAACTACACACCTGCAACATGTCATTGAAGAAGTATAATGAAGACAAAGCCATCAAGATGTCATACTTATAAGGAATGGGGATAGGAAAATAAATGTAGTAGGGCATTAGGCCACCTTGGGCTAAGAAAATATAAATATTTTTGTCATGTTATTCTCCATTTTAAAAAGACATAATACAGCATACATAAGAGTCCAGAAAGATAGCAAGCAGTTGAGATACAAGATCTTCATGGAACGGAAGAGGCTGGCACTGTTTTGTGAGGAGACATTAATCTGTGAGGCAGGCATACTGCACCACTGCTGTGTACCTTCTCTAACACAAATCAAAAGAAAATAAGGAGGAACTGAGGAAGACTACCCTTTATCTCAACTGTCAGTACAAAATCCAGTTGGAATCACAGAAGTCAAGAGATGAAAGGCCTAAAAGGATTCAATACCTATAAAAACTGTGTAATTTGCTAGCAATAAGGAACTTTATTAAAATCTTGTGCTTCTGGGTATAAAAGTGACAAAACAGAATTCCAAAAGATTTATTGACTTTCCCAGACAGCTGGGTTTGTGGGGCTGAAAGGCAAGCTATGACAAAAACATTGCCCTCTGACACCAAAGAAAAAGCAAGCAACACATTAGTCAGGTGTCTGTAACAGGGTTTTCCAGCTTGGCTAATAAATGCACAGAGTAAAAAAAAAAAACCAAAACCTAAACACAACCAAAGTTCCACAGCTTTGTCAGACTCCCAGCCTCTAAAGAGAAATGCTGCAGTTAAATTATTCTTGTAATATGGGATCTGTTAAGGGATTAAAATGCATTAAGGGTGTTAAAGTAGATGGGATCAATAGAGAATGCAATACTCTACAACACTCCCTGCACTACTCTCCAAGGCCTCAGTTACTGGCTATGAGAGGTAAAACACCCAGTTAGAAAAACTGTTGATGCAACCCAAGCACGTGAGCAATCTCCAGGCACCATATAGCAATACCCAAACCAAACAATTAAATCATCTATCTTTGCTGGAGTCTGACAAGTTTTAAGCAAGAGCCCAAGTGAAAATGCAAGTTTACCCCAGAGGCAGGAGTTACTTCCACCACCTGAAGAAAATAAGTATCTTCAGAAGAAATTACTACTCATCCCTTAGCTAGTTTGTACTTTTTGTTAATTAAGTTTATGCTTCACCATGAAGCTAGTACCAGTTAAAAATAAGAAAAGGTTAGCTCTCAGTTAATACAGATCTATTAAAAAGGGCATTTGCCTATTATCTTTCCCTGCTTCTAAACTTAATTGGTTGAAGGGAGTAATTTTTTGACTAGCTAGCAGACTTCTCAGTTGGACATCATAACCTAGGGGCGTGAGAACCAATACACCACTGTTTCCCCTCTCTCAAGGAGTAGAAACACTGTCTCCTTCCATAGCCTCATCCTAATTTAAAGCAGTATGTCCACAGACAGTGGGAAAACATAGAAGAAAACAAGTTAAAACCCAGTTGACTGCAATGAAACGATTTTACACACCAGTGTAAATTGGAGATTCCTCCCCCCCCCCGTGCCCCAGCTTTGTCTCCGAGAATAACCTGGTGAAGCATCACTGAAAGCACCACTATTCACATGAAAAATAGGCTCAAATACACATCCTGAACTCCAGTCTTCCCTCGATGTGCATTTCATAATCCTATCTGGCCTAGTGGAAACTTGTGTTTACAGAAGTGAACAGATCCCACAGTTCTAGCACTGAACTTTTTCACATGTCTGAGGTAGTATACCAACATGAAATAAAAGTACTTGTATGTAAAATTTTCAAAGTCAACCACTGTCTTAAAGTGAGCAAAGGGAAGAAAAAAGCTTCATTACAAACTTAACCTGTCCACGCAATTTAAATAAAAAAATACTTAAAGTTAGCCTAAAATAGAATATGATTGAGAAGCCTGAACATTCATCTGTACAAAAACTGGTCATTTAATGACTTTCTAAATAAAATCATTGCTCCATCACGACAACCTACCAGACAGTGGTAGTGTTACTTCAATATAATCTACCTGCAATACCTTAACATTATTCCCTCAAATCAGGCAAAGCAGTATGTATCTGGGGGAGAGACA